ATGACTCTGATCCTCCTTTAACAGTCAGAAAGGCTGCAGTGAGCAGAGGCTGTGCAGCTGGGGGCGGAGCTCTGATGCGCGAGGAGTGAAAACACTTCCGCGTAGTCTACACCCGTGTATCCTCGCTCTCGTCTCCTCTGGAAGCCTCCTCCCTCCTCGACTCCTCCGTGTGCATTTAAGCAATTGGGACGTCCTTCGACATGGCGTGTCCCGATCGATTTCCGGGTCAAGTCACCAAGGAGAGAGGAGAGAGGAGTCGAGGAGTCGAGGAGTGACATTGTCATGAACCTACGGTCAGCATGTGAACCCGGCTACCCAAGATGCAAAGCGGTGCCCTCAGTGTCACCTCATGTACCAGGTTGCCACAATAAGAGCAACAACTTCCCACTCTCACTTCTACAAAGCTGGCAGCATGTGACACGTGCCAGTCCCGTGACTTTAGAGGTCAACCTGACCTCTGACCTCCGCTGGACCATCCGGCCCGGGGGTCAGTAGTTTTGATTCCTTGTTTTGATGCCCATTGTTCACACAACTGTTATTCGCATATTTGTTTATGAGTTTTTATAGACAATTCGTTTTTTTGCAGGGATACTGTAAGGCTGCCCCAAAAATGAGTTTTGCAGCAAGTTTAGGACTTAAGTTATGATGTCTTCATTAAATCAAGACCATGCATACAAATACATACATATCCAAAAGAGAACAGCTGCTTTATGTCAGATATAGATGCTAGCAAAGTTTAACAAACACTTCAAATATTACTTTTACACTTTTACAGACACATAAAGGTACGGATCTATAAAATATACCAGCGTTTATCAGCACAATAATATTAAAATACATTTCAACTAAAAACTCAAATTGCGTTCAATTTATTGCTGACGAGACACATTTCTCAATATCCATGTTCTTTTTTCAGCCCAGGAAATTATTGAATGCCATAAATAAATACAAAAAGCAGATTGTGGAAAGGCAATCCACCTTTATTCACATGTGGGGTTTGTAATAGTGGGTCGGTCTTCAGATTTCTGGCAGTTTTACTTTCCTATAAATGCTGTAATACAGTTTTTTTTTCAAATCTTTGTTATACTTAAATAGACCCAGCAGTGTAATAGAGGTCAGCTCTTTGGGGCGAATAGATTTGAAAGGGGCATAACCTTCTGTGTTCCTCTATTGATGGATCCATCTCTCCCTGGACACAGAGGACTTCTCCTTTCTCTGGGCCAGCTGTTTCCGCACTAAAATCCAAGATCATCAACATTATAATGCAATTGCAATATAGCAATTTCCCATCATTACTCTTATCAGTTAAAGGCACAGTCCCTGATTCAGAGTTGTTTAACCCACTAGAAATCTACAGTAGCATCTTAAGTCGTAGGAGCTTCACACAGATACTACGAAAGCAATGCCTATTTATTTACTTGCTGGATTGTTCATGTTCGTACTCGTGTTTCTTAATTGAGCTTGAACACCGGGTACTTTTTTAAAGATTTACCTGGTGTCTGTGTTGTTTTAAAACATGTAGCATAATGGATCCCTTGTCATTTATCTGCAAACCAATCCATCTATTGGTACAAATAAATAAGGAGAACCTGAACCTATTATTCATTTTCCTTGACCCACTACAATGCAGCATTACAATTGAAGCTGAGAGAAAACATAGCGAGTGTTCCTAGACATAGATCCCAACGCTCCTGCCCATAATGACATTGCGATGGGGTTACTTTCTGTATTTGTTATTGGTTCAAAATCAGAAAAGCAAGCAAGCATTGTTTATTTAAGAAGCTGCAGGAGTCTTCTTCAGCTTTGTTTTGTGCTACTCATAAATACCAAAACAGTCGCAACGGCAACATTTCTGGTAAATATGCCGGTTGAATACCTTGCCTTTTTGAAGTCATTTTATTTCCCAGCTTTAAGTTGAATCTCGGTAGGTTACAGGAAATGACCTACCCCTAACCCTAACCCTTCTCTTGCGTCAACATCAGACCTGTTTTGTTGAGCCAACTCTTGATACACTTTCTTATATTACTTTTTTACCTTCTTTGCTCCTGATTGTAAAGACGTCCATTAGGCATAGACATGGTATCATTTTGTGGCATTTTCAGAAACAACAATTGCTGTAATTTCAAGTTTCCCCAAATTCCTCTCATGGGGACTGATGGCCATGAAAAAAAGCCCAGAGAGAGTAAAGCACTCACTAAAGGCTTTTTTGACAACATAGCACAAGCCTGAACTGCTTTCCTGTTTTTCTGTTTACGAGTCTTCAGCTCAGTCGTGGTTACTGAATTTTGAATCTATTCACCCTAGATTTTACACTAATGGGAAAAACAACAAAGTCCAGCACACACCAGTGGGAGGATATTTCTTTAGCCCCTGCGTTGGCGAATAAAAACAAAATCGCAAAACCAACACAGCACCATCTTTGCGTTGAAAGATTATCAAGGGAGAAGAAATAGTAAACCTTAGGTACAAAAAAGTAGAGGGATTATGAAACTTCTGTGTTTAAATCTCAGTAATTAGACCCTCCAGAAAAACGCGGGCAAAAATCCTTGATTATGCGATTAAACATGCGGGGTTTTTATGTGATTTTATACGGTGAAATTGAGGGACGTTGCGAAATATGCGGAAAATTGCAAAATATGCAAAATATGTGGGAAAAAAGAATAACAGTTTTTTAAAATATTGGGCTGTCTTATTTATTCTCTCTCACACACAACCTGCCACTAACGTTAAACCCCTTTTACTATTCAATTAAAACAATTCAATGTNACTACACACTTCTCCGCCTCATTCTGTTTGCATTTACTCGTTCTTTATCTGACCAGCTTCAATCTTGTAGGCTACTCACTTCGTTTCTTGTAGCCCTCAAAGGGTTTTGGAGGTTGATGCCTCGGTGACTGTGAGTTGTTTGGCTTTCTTGTCCGCAGCAGCAGAAAGCATTTTCGAATGTTTGAATGAATCAAAGTGGGTCGTCACCGTCGATTTTCTCTTATGCTCCAACACACAGTTGCACGGGGTGCAGAATAGTTTCCCCCCACTTTTTGCCCGGTCTTTAGTAGAAATGTTTGTCGGTAAATGGATTAGATTAGATTTTTTCATCTTGGTGTTTTCTCTATCGTGTGAGCTCCACACGTTCACTCTATACAGTGTTGTTTACATTCTGTGATGCGCGATCTGATGGCATCATGTCAAGACGAGTTAACTTTTTTTTCTTCTCAACTTTGTGTGGAAAAATGCGGGGATTATGCGGCCTTTTGATAAATATGCGGCCTTTTAAAAATCTGCGCCATTTTGCTGATTATGCGGTAAATTCTGAAATCGCAGAATCGCATTTTTCATTGGTAATACGTCATCATGACAACTGAGGGTTAAAAGCCCAATTTAGGAGGCAAATTGCTCCTTCAGTCCCCGTAAAGTAAATGACAGAAGGATTGTAGAAGTCTCCTGGCACAATTGCACCCTGCAACCCGCGGTGCTCAAGTAGGTTCGGTCAGAAGACTGTAGTCCATTACCTGGTAAGGTCAAATGAACTTCTAAATGCTGCGCAGCCACAAGATGTAATCACCGAAATTGGATTTTAAGAGGTGAGAAACGAGCGCATAGTAATTCTGAATGATTATCTCGACAGGTGTGCGCCATTAGTCCGTGACTGGTAAAAGCTTTTTTACTTTAAGAAAATTGCTAGGGTAAAACGCTCCGTCAGACACACACACTCTGTCCTCCTGGGAGAGCAGGTGGAGAGGGGGATTGGATCTGGAGAAAGTATTCCAGGTACTAGAGCTAATAAACAGTGCATTATGTATTACATTACTTCTGAAATTGCAAAATAGTGCATTTGTGCTTTTTTCTAGTTTTTTTTTTCCTCTAAGGATGTTGCATCAGATGTGCAGCCCTGATGAATCTGCTGATCCACATCTCTGTGTGTGTACAGCCTGCAGAGAGCCCGTACATAACCATCAGATGCCCTACAATTAGCACAAAGCAAAGGGGCATGATGATGTGGAACTGGATGAAGGTACACTTTGTACAGCGACAGATTGTCTCAAAGTGCTCCTCTTGGATGGAGAGGTTTGCATGTCAAAATGTCTTCGAAAGTACATTATGAAGACTCAAAAGTGCATGTGATGGTTGGTTTTTGGGTACATATTGTTCTTTATTGCCTTTCTTGTCCCGTTTAGTGCTGTAAGGACTGATTGATTTACATTAAACCATTCAACAACAATGGCTGTCATTAAGGTTGAGCATTGGCTGATTACCATAGCTTGTGTTATGTTATTATATTTTGCTAATTTTATGCTCTGCCTCTAAACGAATGAGTGAATGCGGCTGATGATTTGTGACACACACACACACACACACACACACACACACACACACACACACACACTTCCATGCATTTCCTGGAGACTTATCCTAACCATAACCAACACATGTCTAACCCGAACCCTTTTTTATGTATCTCTTTATTTTATTATTTTACTTGGTTATTCAGCATGAATTTGTTTTGTTGTGTGCATTTTTTACAAAACACGTTTTTNAATGTATGAATGTGTAATGTCTCTTCTGAATTTCTGTCTTGTTTTTGCCCAGGTATTATGAATATCATGGCTGTTTTAAAAAAACATGGCTTGAAGTGGACAAACTGTACCCCCACGCTGCAGTAATCTTTGACTCAGAATGTTTGAAATGAAAAACTCCTTTTTTCCAGATCAAATATCAAATGGACAAGTACATCATCACCTCAAATACAATCGAAACTGCTTTCAAATGTGGATAATCCAGAGAAAAGCCCTGAGAAAAATCTTAAAATGGAATAAAACATTAATTGAAGACGGAGGAAAAGTCGGATCTCTCCTCAACAACACAAACGGAGGAGGAGGAAAAGGAGAGAGATCCGACCTTTTTCCTCCGCTTCAATTAATTTTTATTCCAAATTTAAGATTTTTCCTCAGGCTTTTTTTCTCTGATTCAACATTTGAAGCAGTTTCGATTGTATTTGTGAAGGTTTGATGTGTACTTTGTCCTTGATATTGGATCTGAAAGGAAAGGAGTTTCATTCAAACATCTGAGGTCAAAAGAATACTGGCAGCGGGTACCCAGTTTTTGTTCCACTTCAAGCAGTTTTACAGCATGATGATCATAATACTGGGCAAAACAGACCCAGAAATCAGAGGAGACATTGACACATTCCATACATTTATATCATACTTTTAAATCAAGTACGTTACCTTAAGTTACAATTTCAGAAGTACATCGTTGTACTTTTACTCCAATACCATTATTTAATATATTTTTAGTTTACTTTGCAGGAATTGGATGAATTGATGTGAAATATAATCAGCTCTTAAATCAGACTTTAGTTCCAGCTGGAGTAAATTCACAAGCTACCCTGCAGTTATAGAAATGTCATTCAACTAGCTGCACTTTACCAGGCTTTGGATAACACTTTAATGATCAATAATTATAAATCAAAACATGATATATATATTATTCGCAAATTGGCCATCTGTGGGTACTTTTAAAACTATATTTTTTGATGCTAATACTTTTGTACTTTTACTTGAGTAACATTTGCAATGCCAGACTTTTAACTTCTAACAGAGTGTTACTGACACTGTGGGTATTTCATACGTTTACTTAAGTACAATATATGAGTACTTCTACTCACCTCTGTTCTTTGCTTATCTGAAGGGAACTTACCAATTTTGCTGCAGACTTCTTTATTATATCTGGTTTTTTTACACATTTCCTTTGTCTCGAAACATCTAACCTGGCAAGGTCCTATTAAGGAAAACAGTGAAGAAGAAAAAGGCTCACAATTATAGAAGCACATCACTTTAGAAAGTACACATGTGAAATGATTTGACCCTGTCTGTAAAAGTAACTTGAAGTTATCAAATCACTACCTGGTTCTACGTGGGATGGTAAAGAAATGGACTTTGATTAAAAGTGACGTTATTTATCATTCCAATGTTTACATTAAGTGTGAGTACATTTTTATAAGTTCTATTTTCACTATATCAGATTTCCAGGATAAACTGTGAAAATGAATTATTTTACCTTCGCCAGTGTAATTGTAGGTGCAATTTAGATTTGGATCTGTGAGAAAATGAACAGTAACACATTACATTTGCATCTTCTTTAAGTGTTGCATTAGGTTGATAAGGGCCAAACACACACACACACACACACACACACACACACACACACACACACACACACACACACACACACACACACACACACACACACACACACACACACACACACACCATATTTACATCACTTCAGTGGACATTACATTGACTTCCATGCATTTCCTGGAGACTTATCCTAACCATAACCATAACCAACACATGTCTAACCCGAACCCTTTTTTATGTATCTCTTTATTTTATTATTTTACTTGGTTATTCAGCATGAATTTGTTTTGTTGTGTGCATTTTTTACAAAACACGTTTTTACCTTAAACACTGCTCTATTAATTTTATTGTTTATCGGCATGCTTTTTCAAGAGATGTCCCCATAAGGGAGGTGAGTCCCCACACGAGACTGTGTAAACAGATTTAGGCCCCCACAAGGATAGTAATGCTAGAACACACACACACACACACACACACACACACACACACACACACACACACACACACACACACACACGGCAGTTGCTGATTGTCTGTGTGCAATACATCTCCACCATTCACCTTGTAAGTCATTTTCAAGCCAAAACACAAACATTTTGCAATTCGTTTTTGTCTGTTTTTAAATCCATCAATTTTCTTTAGTTTGTGGACTGTTGTCTACTCTAGACAATGCCCATGAATGCAATATAGGATGATGGTGCAGGTAATCCAGTTCACAAGTCTCCTGATTATTAAATGTATTCATTGAGTAATTTTCCTTTGCATAATCCCTCTTGAAATGTAATCGAGTGCCATCTATGTTTGGCATTGTTTGTCTGGAGGCGTGTGGCGCAGTGGACTAGTGTGATGGTGTTGGGATCAGGGGGTCACAGGTTCAAACCCCACTTTTGTCAGCATGTCCCTGAGACACTTCACCCCAAATTGCTCCTGTGGGGATTTTCCACAGTATTGAGTATGTAAATCGCTTTGGATAAAACCGTCTAACATGTAATGTTTTCAGCCCTGGCCGTAGGATCATAAGCAATTTCCTCTCTGGACTCAGCCAAAGTAGCTCAGGGGGAAACAAAGGTCAGACTTCCACATTAGTGAACAGTGAGCGGCGGTATTTAACACAGCACTGCTCCAAACATGCTCCGTTGGATAACCAATACGTTATTACTGTCACTCGTGCATAAAAAAAACAACACGAGGATGTAAAGACTTGGAATATCAGAGGCCGTAGATGTTACCAATAATGATTTGGTTTGTTACAGCTTTGCATTAATTAGATTTAAACTTTTAGGGATTTTTTTGTACAGTCAGAAGTAGTAACAAACAAATCAGGAGACCAGGATTCAATGCAGCTACCAAACATGTGTTTCCCTCGTGTTTTTCAGAACTAATGACGGGGTGTTCTCAATAATAAGTGTCAGATAAATAATTCATATTTATTGTAACTCAATGGGTTAATGGGTGTGGGAGAGTGGTGGGATTGAAATGGAGATTTTTATTTGTCAGCATGTGTGTATATATCGTTACTTGAATTGGAACCGAATGTACATGCTGGTATCACTTGCTTTTGTAAAAAGAAAAAATGAGAAAATCCATAAAGGTATTTAAATAAAAAAAGTTAAATAAATGTTTTTCTATATCATAAAACTGAAATATTCAAGCGTATCCATTAGGATGAGATACTACAATGCCTAACCAAAAGCTCCACACATTCATACCTATGGGACTAATAGGTATGAATGAATATACAGAATGGATATGCAGTAAATAACCCACTGTTGACTCTATACATTTGAACTTTTTATATAAATAAAAACTTGATATGGGTTTTTTAACGACACCTCTGATAATGGATGTATTTATAAAGGTGTATTTTTTAATGGTTTACAATGAAGAGAGAAAAAAGGGAAAGATTAGAAGTTGATTTCTTGTTGCTTTTACATGAACGGTAGTGTCCTTAAATACTCAAGTGCATATTATAAGTACATTTGATAGTAACAGGGACACTATTTGCACTGCTTATGCCTCCAAACTATGTAATTAAAATAAAAGGCACCATTAAGATTTGATTGACCCAGTGGTATGGTTACACACCAGCCAGGAAGGTGTGGTTTCTTCTGACGTCTTTGGGCCACTTTCCCTGAGCTGCTGTCAAGTTTACATGATAATATAAGACAGGAACTAACACGATTCCTTCAAAATAAAAGTTACACATAGTTCAAATAAAAAATATATCTCATATTAGTAGGTTTTTGGGGGAGCCATCTTGACATTTATTCAAAAATATTTTGTATTCATGCCATTTCTTTACAAAACTCATTTACATGCAGCATATTTTAGCATTACAAATATTTATTTCATCTGGCAGAGTCGTTTGGTAGCATTGGCAGTCTCTCATTCATTATCACACTAGAGCAGTTACTTAACCCTTCTATTGTCTTCGTTTCCCCCCCCCTTACTTTGATGTTCGCGGTCAAACTTGAACGGCCCTGTTTCAACTGCTATTACATTAACACAAAAACCATTAATCCTCACCAAATTTCATTTAACACCCTTTCAAACTGTACATATTGTATCAGACTACTGGTATACATGAACAACTGCAGTAAATATACAAAGAATAGACACTGAACATGTATTGCGTGTGCCAGGTGTGATCCATGTGGGGGGATGGGCACATAAGAGCGGGGGATGGGCACATAAGAGCGGGAAATGTGTCAAATTGTATACGTGTGTGTGTGTGTGTGTGTGTGTGTGTTTTATCTGATCCGGATGGTTACTAATTCCTTTTCTTTATGGCGCTCTTGACCGGGAACACCATGGGTGTTACAAAGTTGACTAAATCATCCAAAATTCAATGAAAGTGGTGATCAGCNTGTGTGTGTGTGTGTGTGTGTGTGTGTGTGTGTGTGTGTGTGTGTGTGTGTGTGTGTGTGTGTGTGTGTGTGTGTGTGTGTGTGTGTGTGGGTGTTTGTGTGTTTGATCTGATCCGGATGGTTACTAATTCCTTGAACCGGGAACACCATGGGTGTTACAAAGTTGACTAAATCATCCAAAATCCAATGAAAGTGGTGATCAGCCATTTGATATGTTCAAATGTCTACTGTGAAGGATATCATAAAGCCTTAATGCAATCGAATGTAAAACTAAAAAGTTATGATTGAAGAAAGTAGTAAATTGGTTAGATTTGACCCGAAGACAACAGGAGGGTTAAATACTCCATTACAAGTAAAAGTACCATAATCCAAATCAGCAGAAGTAGTCATTATTAATGCAAAATCTTATTTAAAAAAGTAATTGAAGCTTTAAATTGAATGTAGTTGGAAAGTAACACTCCATATATTCCAGTTAAAGTTAAAACAGAAGTATTACCAGCCACATATCAAAAGTAAAAGTACTCATTCTGCAGAGAAATGGCCTTCATGTGTGATGTATTATTGTTAAATATATGACATTATTGGTGTTGATATTGTTGCATTACGTTGAGTTGAACTGCTGTAGACCAACACAGGTCTGATACCAACATTATTTTTATTCAAGACTTTCTTTTTTAACTTTTTCTAATATTTCAGATTAAAAAAAAATGTTTTGTTTTAACGATAATCTTTTATTTGACCTCTTCTAGTTATTCGACTGGTTTAATCTCTTGTTATTTGATGCAAAATCTCAATCTTAAGCATTCAAAGAAATCAAGTGAAGTAAAAATGGATGATTGTCCTTTTTCGATGTAGTGGAGCAGAAGTATGAAGTACCTCCAACTGGCACGTAAGTAAACACTTTTCCACCCCTGGGTTTCACCGTGTATTCTCACGTTCCTGCAGCTTTAAAGCCTCTCGAATACGTTGACGGATGCTTTTAGGATATAAGGATGCATGCAGTAAGTTCACCTTCAGAAAGAGAGGAGATGAAGAAGGGCTGAGGATGCACGAGAGATCGTTCACACCGCCTCGTTATAACAATAATAACAACGTGTTTTTACTGAAATATCCGTGAGTGTGTACGCCACTGATTACAGTGTGATAGAAACACCGGTTAGAAAACTATATGACTCTGTCTTACAACTTTCCGGAACAAACACACGGGCGATAAAAAAAACAGGACGAAGGTTCATCGACAGCTCGATCACATAAATCCGAAACGAAGAAACAAAAAACACACGTCGCTAAAAATCTGTTGTTCGCGGCCCCGGTTCACAAAGTCCTTACTGATAGCACACTATAGCAGCACAGCAACGATGAGATGCTACCATGCTCACTAAATTACTATGCAACTTTTTGATCTTATATGTCAGGTTTTTAAATAAGTCATTTGGTAGTGATATTTGATGGAAAAATATATATAAAAACGTAAAATAAAACAACCTACTCCTGTCATATATTCACTGTGTTACCACAAATCACTCCGCTCACTTTTTTAAATTAAATTCGGTTTTTCTTGCAGCCTTCACCCGCTTGTTTCTTAAATCCTGTCAGTGATTAAAGCAGAAGATGTTGATATATTCTGAGATGAATTAATGATTGTTTTATGATTAATTTAAGGGGATTATTTGAAGGGCAAAGGCTAAACTATGTGAGCTCCTAAACAGAACCAAAGTAAATGCAATTGAATAACTCTGTGCTCAACATTTGTTGTATAACAACTTTTATGGAGTGCACCATTATTCAACTGTGTACATATAATCATATATATCAGCATGTTGATATTTACACAGCACAGACAAATACATTCTCCCAAGTTAAATATTACTACAATTTCCCCATCCCCCCCTCCCCCCCCTCCCGTAAA